TTGCAAAGCAATCTAATATAAAATTGGAACAACACCTAACAATCTCTACTTTTGTCCAAATTTTACAATCAAAGAACCACCTACGCGCCTGTTGCGATCTAATCGTCTCATTGCACTAACTTCATGAGCAAACCCACCGACCTGAGCCTAATCAAGCACGTGTCCGGCCTCCAGTGTTTGTTCCAATCCATGGCTCTACCTCGTGCTCCCGCGCGTTCAAATCCATGCGCCTGCACCCGTCGTTGTTCCTCCCGCGATCTGTATGCTTGTGTCTTGTGCATTGCTTGCTTCCACGTGCTTCTAGCCCATGCATTTTCTCCTACGTGGCACGCCCACGCTCTAGCACAAACACCCTCCAGCTCGCCTGCCTTCCCTGTACACCCATGCGTGGTCCAACCTACTACTTCGCATGAGCCACCCGTCCAATCTCGAGTCTGGTGCCCTCTTCTTGCGCACTCCTGTGATCTGCTATGCAGTTCTTGATCCTGTTGCTGCTTCAACACACCAAACTCGATCAACACTGCTCACCAATCTTCCCTTGTTATGGTCTGGAGGCTCCACCTCAAAAGATCTAAGCAGATCTTTAGTCCCATGATTGATCTTGATGATTGATCCGTGCCCCACAGCACCTACCTACTTCCGTACACAAGATCTCACCCGAAATTTGGAAAGAATTTTTTTAAGCAACTATCTCCATCCCTTCCTCCTAGTTCCAACCTTTATACAAGAATAATAATAACAGCTACTTGCTATCCTTTTTCTAGTCAGCTTGCCTTCCGACTGCCCGAACCCAAACCCTAGCTCACGTGGATGCCTCCCGTTACCCGCACCCAAGTGCGACTTGCCTGGCCAGCGGGCCCGACTTTGCCGCCCATAGGCAGCTCTCGATCCTACTTTTTGCTCCTAGCATACCCCAACGATTGCCCAAGCCCTCACAGGTCCCACCTTCCTTGTGCAAAACTGCACGCCTTGGGCCTGTCTTGGACTTGCCTCCAGTCCTTCAAACCCAACCGCAGACCCGCGCAACTGCCTCCGTTCAAGCCTGCGATCGAATTGCAACACCAGCCCGTCTGTGTTCGCCAATTATGATCATGCCTTGAGCACTCCGCTTTCGAGATCCAGCACGTTCGCCGCGACCCATGAGCCAACCTTGAACCCTGTGGGTGTTTGCCCGAACCCTTCAAGCTTCCGACCTGCCAAACTCTCGCGAAACCACACAGGTGGCTCCAGTTCTCCTTTTGCGAACAAACCTGTGACCGAAGTCGCGCCTCCCCTTCTGTCCACCTTCATGCGTGATCCAACTACGCTTTTTGGAACACGAGAATCTTTCTCCTTGATTGCCTCCATAAGGCTCTGATACTACTTGTTATGCAATTTTTGGAGGAAGAATAATTCTTCATGGCTGCAAGAACAACCTTCCAAAGAGAAGAGAGGGAGAAGGATAGTGTAGAGAGGGGAGAAGGGAGAAAGTCACTCATAACCTTTATTAATTCATGGTTGGGGAGAAGTACATTAGAACAACCTATAAACCTATTTGTAGGCATTTATAGTTAATATGATGTCTTGTAAATTAACCTAATCTAAAATTGGGCCAACACTTAACAATCCTACCACAATTTTTTTATTTTAAAAATATCACATTTGATGAGAAACAAAGTTTTTTTAAATAAAACTCATCTTCACTGGGAGAAAACTCAATTAGAAGATAAGTTTGATAAAATTTCTATTTTTTTATCTTGACAAATTCATGCAACTTAAACTCAAAAAAATTGGCTGTTATGCTGCTGCTCCCTGGCTTTTCCGGTTCCCCTGGTCTTGGCTGTTCGGTACCTATTGTTACCCCTTGGCTTTCCCGATTCCTAGCTATTCGGGTGGGCTTCTACCGTGCCTTTAATCCTGCCTTTTTCTTCCCCTTTTTGGCTGGCTGTTGGCCTCCTTTTCCCCTGTTCTGGTTGGCTGATTTGGGCGGCTGTTCTGGGGTGCCTTTTGAGCTCCTTTTCCTCTGTTTTGGTTGGCTGTTTTGGGCGGCTGCTTGGGTGTCTTTTGGGCTTCTTTTTCTCTATTTGTAGGGTCTGTTTGTGGCAGTTTTAAGAGAGTGAAATGTAGTGATTTTTCGAGAACAAAACCCAAGTGTTTTTAGTTTGCGAGCTAATCTTCTACCTCTCTTCTTCTTCTAATTCATCTCGGTTTTCTAATCTATTTTTTCTAACCATGGTTTCCATTCCATTGTATCTTTCTTCTCAAAGCTTTGATTAGTCGTATGGTGTTGTTGTGTCCTTTTATTTGAAGTTGTAAGGTGTGGTTGTGTTTGTTTAAGCTATTGTGAGATATAATAGTATTGTATTGTTCTATTTGTGTTAGTCTTTTGTTTTAAGGACAAGAAGACTTTGTGTTTGCAAATCTAGTGTTTTTTGATTTCATCAAATAAGCTCAATCAAAATCTCTAGCAAGTTCAATACTCGAAACCATTATCAGATAAGAATGATCAACCTATCACTTCACATTCTTTTTTGCATCGCATCTCTTAGTACGTATATTTTAAAAAATGTTTTACTCATAAAGCTTTATAAATTTCAAATCTATTATCATTATAATACCACAAACTTTATTTGAGGCACTTGAAACTAAAAATTGGGGGATGTTATGAGAGGAGATGAATGCTCGAAAAAAAAATTACACTTGGTTGCTCGTTGAACTACCAAAATGGAAGAAAATGGTAGAATGTAAATTTTTTTTCTATAAAATATGGAGTAGATAGAAGCCTAAAATATTATGAAATGATTTTAATAGCTAATGATAAACTCAACTCTATGGAATTGACTATGAGTAAATTTTTGCTCTTGTTGTGAAAATGATTACAATACGTATATGAATTTCTCTTGCAACTAACATGCATTAGTATAATATACAAATTGCTTTCCTACATGGGAAAATTGAAGAAATATATGTGAAAATGCCATCAGGATTTGATAGTTATTTCACAAAGAATAAAATATGTAAATTAAAAATGGTTTCGTAGGACCTTAAATATCTACAAAAGCATTAGTCTTGTGTATTCACAAAAGTCATGAATGAAGATAAATAAGATCACAGTTTTTTCATAAAACACTCCGCTGATGATAAAATCTCAATTCATGTTGTATATATTGACAGTATAATTGTCACAGCTAATGAAAATAGAAAAAGGACGTCTTTAAGGAAAAAAGTTTGCTGAAAAGTGTTAGATCAAAGTATTGGACCAATTCAGGTACTTTTTTGGGAATATAAGTTACTCAATTTGAATAAGGATTGTTCATCTCTTAACAAAAATGTATCATGGATCTATTGAAAGAAAAAGTGATTAATTGTGAGCTTTGTGAAAGCTTAGTTGAATCAGATAAAAAATTGGACTCACTCTGTTGATGAAGAAAATGTAGATATTGGACACTATCAAGAATTGGTTAGTAAAAGATCTATTTATCTAACACTAATCTAAATATCACATTTATAGTAAGTTCCATCAATCAATTCATGTATAAACGCAAATAGTCTCACATTCAAGTCAATGTTTAAAATTGCGTATTCGGGTATTGAGGCGTTTTTCATTCGTGAGGCGAAGCGTAAGCCTCAAGGCGTTTTGAGGCGTAAGCCTCAAAATCAAAAGATTGCGTAAACATAAAATGATAAAATTTTTATATACTAATGAGTGAATAATATAAAACATAAAAAAGCATAAGATATGAAGTGAAATCAAAATATCTCAATAATAAGACAACATGAAATATAGTTCAACTCAAAATTCTTTCTTTCCCAAATCCCAGTATTCTTTTCATTAACATATAATTCCAATTTCCAAAAATAAATAGCAATGACATATCACATAAAAACTCATAAGTCATCAGCACTATCATCACTAAGGGGTTCTTCATTTGAATCATCATTATGGTGAACTGCTCTCTCCCCTTCCTCCTCTCCTATAGAGTCTAATGTCGGGCATTTACTTCAAGATTTATGTAAGTTTTAATATATATAGCGTGAGGCGAGGCGGGCCTCAACCAAGTTGAGGCGCAAGCCTCATAAAAAAACTCGAGGCGTAAGCATCGAGGCGTTTTTTATTGGAATTGCGCAAAGGCGGGCCTCAAGGCGAGCCTCATATTGCGCAATTTTAAACCATGACTCAAGTTTCTTATAGAATTCTTAGATAACTTTAAGCATAGTAAAGGAATTTATTATGAAAATCATTGATGTTTTATAAATTGAAAAATATACTAATGCAGGCTATACAAGATCATCAGTGAATAGATGATCCACATGAAGAGAATGTTTATTATTTGGGAGAAAATCTCATAAGATGGAGGAGCCAAAAACAACTTGTTTCAAGATTTAGTGCTAAATTTGAATTTGGAGCCATTGCCTAATTGAATTTGTGGGCTTCTGTGGGTCTATGAAGAAATACTGTGACAATAAATCTGTCATTAGTATTGCTTATAGTCTAACAAAACATGTGGAGGTGGATAGGCATTTATAAAAAAGAAATTGGAAAGTGTGTTGATTTACACTACATATGTGACAACAAGAGATTAACTTGTAGACATTTTCACCTAAGGATTCTGCACACCACATCCAAAAATATTATAAACAAATTTATAATGATTGATTTATACCATTCAGTTTGACAGAGTGTTGAATCATAATGAGACCCACAAGTCAACAAGTCTTTGTAGGATTCTTGAGCACATGGATTAACAGTTCTAACAATTGGATTGATCTTCTTATGACTCTTAGATTGCAATCCATGTATCTCCTCTGCCTCTTCTAGCTGTTGGCCTCTATTGCAGACTCTTTTTATATAAATAATTTTGATTTATTTTCATTTCAGCACTTTTGGATGAGTTTATATATGCACTTTTTGTACCTAAAAAATAAAATTCAAAGTAGTTTCTTTCTTATTTTTCTACTTTTCACCCCACACATTTGCTTTCTAAACCAGATTAGCATGATTTGTGTTTTTTTTTATGTAGTTTATTGGTACTCCACATTGGATGGCTCCAGAAGTTATTCAAGAGAGTCGCTATGATGGAAAGGTTTGCTGCCACATTGTTCTCCTTCGTCTTGCCCTTGTGTTAATAAACTATTGTTTGTTGCTACAATGATATACGAAGTGGAACATGCTACGCTATAATCACTGTTGCAATGGCATATTAGTTTCAATATTTTGGCAATGGTTACTCATCTGTAAGTATATAGTTATAAAATGCAGCTTTATTGAACAATGGGAGATTCGTGAATGCCAAGTTAAAATATTTAAGCTGATCGTTTTAAACCTTTTTTATCTGGGTTTCTTCATTGAATATACCGATTATCAGCTCTAATTTCTTAGAGCTTGTTCCGAAGATCTGTAACCCAAGATTGTATCCATGGGCTGACAGAAGTGCATTTCTTTTCCTGTTTATGTACTGGCAGTCTGTATGAGGCTTAACGAAGAGAAAATTGATGAAGAACAAAGCCTTGATGAATGTTGACGTCACCATTGTGCAGTACTAGGTTGCCCTTATTTCCCAATAACATCTCAGGTTTATCAATACTTGCCTGTAAGCTAGTGTGACGGTGTTGATAGTTGGATCCTTTGTCATCGCAGGAATGCTTGTTTTGCTCTTTACTTACTTTAGTTGTATTTTTTCCACAAACCCAAAATTATCTTGTGCTGGGCATGGACTCCTTAAGTTTTGCCATTCTATTAACTAAACCTGCCTCAGGACTTTGTAATGAAATGCATGAATGATTATAAAGGTTTTCTTTCTACCTTTCAGGTAGATGTGTGGGCACTTGGTGTTTCTGCAATTGAAATGGCAGAGGTATGATCTCTGTGCATTTCTACTTGGAATTTTTTCTTCCATGTTAGTTACAGCATAATGATGTCATCATTGTATAAATATTCATTTTTTAATCAATCCCAGGGACTTCCGCCTCGATCCTCTGTGCATCCAATGAGAGTTAGTACTTAATCATAACCTCTTGCTTGTCTTTTCTTTCTGCTATGCACTATGATATTCCAATTATACTTTACATATTCTAGTCATCTGTTGATTAAGCTACCTATCTGGCTCTCATTAAATATATTTGCAATCTACCTAATGCTTATTGCTTTCCTGATGGGAGTCATCCGGTTCATTGTCATCCACTGTGTTTGGTTACATCTCTTTTTGATTATGTAGAAGACATTTATGATCAAGAATGTCTTTGAGCATTGGTAAATACTACTATTCATTTTGACGGAACACAAAAGGTCAGGATAATGCTAGTTTAGGATTTATTTCAGCTATTTTGTTTAAATTTGAAAAATTTAAATGTATTTTAATTTAAATTAACATTAGCTATCCTTATTGAATAATTTTACATTCAAATTGTTTAGGATTAGATTTTTGATAGGATTATATTTATTTTCAAATGTTGATTCAAACTTATCTTGTAAATCTATTTATGTAAATAGGATCTCCTAACTTGTTTTTCTGGATTGATTAATGAATTCAAATTAAAGCCTCCACTTTTATGCCCTCTCTCTTCTGATACCTTTGCATTAGTTAGTAGTTTCAAATTCTTGCTCACTCTACTTGCGTCATTTAGTTTTGTTTGGAGTCTTCTTGCCCAACATCTAACATGAATACCTTTTGCACACGTCTTGCTCACAGATGACACTATTCTAATGCTTGGGTTAGCTATCATGTTGACCTAATGCTTGATTGGTTTTTTGTATGTGACATCTACTTGCGTCTTACTTCACACATGCGCATCACTTCTTCCCTAATGTGTTTGCTTTGTATCTGTAGTCATGCTTGCCCTTTATTCCTTTATTACATCTGCTTCACTGCATTGCCGCTGCCTTCTTTTCACCTATTGCACTCAAGCCACCCATGCTTGTTGCGGGTTTAAAAAAATTGCATTCGGATCTTCTAAGAGAGTGTGTTTTCTGGTCAAATTTTTAAAAGCAAATTTAGATTATAGATAAGTAATTACCTAGAGATTTCACTATCATTCTGTGAGGGCTTTATGATCAGTTTTCCTTAGGCACAATCCCTTATGGTTAATTAGTCCTAATCATGAGAGAGAATTTAAAATTAAGGCTAATCAATAATCACTAAATGTTTAGTTTATAATAGTAGCGATTTTGGTTTTAAGAAAATGAAATTTACTACCTTTAGTTTAGAGCTGATGGTAGAGGGAATGATGCTCTGTTTTTTTCTTACTATTTTGCAGTCAACAAGCCAACTTATGTGCTGTCCTAGCTTGAATCAAACTTGGATTGAGCCATGCATGGATTGTATAAAGCTAGCTTGTGCTTGACTTGAAATAGATATGTATATGTTTGAATGTATGCACGAGTATGCATGCATGAGTTCATGATTGCATATATAAATTTATGGATCTATCTATTTATATGTTTGCATTTATATATATGGAAGCATATATATATGCTAGGTTAGGAATTTTACTTTAAGATTGAAAGCTGATTTAAGAAGTGGAACATTTTTTTTCTTAATCAAGCTCAAATTGCTATTGACAAGGTGAACACGGTCCAAATCAATGTTAGATTGGACCTGCTTGAGCCAGGCTTAGCTTGGCTTAAGAATCAGACCAAATAGCTTTGAACCGATATTGGGACTTGTTGGATTGGTCTAGATTGGATTGCTCACCCTCTTAAATCAGTTAAATGTTCAGTGTAGTGTTAGAGCCTTAGAGGAGAAACCTGCAAATGCCGCCTTAATTATTTTGCATCCTGTCACATAGAATTTAAAGCTGGAGCATCTAGTAGCTAGAGGAACAGCTATTAGTGAAGAGGCTATTATTTATTTTGAGTCAAATAATAAATAGGATCCAAAAAAATAAATAAAGAAGGTGAAGTGAGTATGCTTTATATGGTAGCACATTACTTGGTTTTCTTTTCATGTTAGGTATCACTATATTTTTTGTCTGATAAATGTTTTTTTTAATCAAGATAATTGATTTTCACTATACCTTCCAACTTTTCTGATCGATTATGAAAGTAATTTTACACTGCTTTTCTAATTTATATACAATGTCATCATGTAAACGTGAGCATGTTACTTAAATATTACGATTGCCAACATTTATTTCTTTGTCAACATTATCTTCTGGCTCTGATTCTCTAAAGTTTCGTTGAATTGGCTTTTAAATCATCCTTTTATCCCAGTTTGTTCTTTACATCCGAAAATTGAGTCACATTGCTTTATTCTTGCGGACATACTGTGCATATAAAACTAGAGGAATAAGTTAATTTTTGTAACAAATTTTAAGTACGAATCATGCGATGCATGTTATTATATTTCTAAACATAATTAATTAAACAGTGATAATGACTAATGAAAGATTGAAAGTGCACAATTAGAAGCTACTTGTGGAATCATGGCTTACCAATGATTATTAAGATTTTAATGAGTTAGTTAAACTAAAGTCATCCTTTCATCCAGTTCTCATGTTTCTGTGCTTCTATTGTGCTCATTCCTTACTATTACATAATGCCATATCAAGCTTCCAAATTTGATTGCTTTGTTGCCTTTGGTAATTTATGATTTAGTTGGTTTGATTTTCTGATAAATGGTCCAATATTATTAGGTGTTATTCATGATATCTAGGGAGCCAGCTCCAATGCTTGAGGATAAAGAGAAGTGGTATGCTTATTACTATTTCTTTTATGAGTATTGTGTCTTCACATGTGAAGTCTGCAAAAATTCATTTTGTTTCTTTTGTTTCTACATGCCAATGTTGTACATATACTATGATGCGTAGACACGTTTATGACAAAACGAACATGTGTATTATTGAAAATATTGGATACGGACATGGATTGTACACAATAGTATAATTTTATATATTAAGAATAGTATATAAAAATTTAATAAGTAGAATGTTATGTCATTTAATTATGATTTATGCTTAAAATGATTGATATTAGGATGCCGAGAGTCTGGCATGGATGTCGTGCCAGACATTGATGCTATGCAGTGGGCATCTGGCATCGATGTCGAGGCAATATTAACCCTCTATGTCGAGACAATGTTAACCCCCGATGTCAAGATGGCGTCGGTTGTTTATGTTGAGATGACGTTAGACAAGATGAGATGTCAGGATGGCCCAAGGACGTGATTGTTGGTGTAAAAATTGCTGGAGTCAAACATCAATGTTAAGGCATCATCAAACTTTGATGTTAAGATGGTTATAAAATATTGATGTTGTGACAACGTCGGATGTCTATGTTGTGATAACACCGTGCATTGTTGTGAAACCCTAGTTGTAACCCGCTAGTGAGAAATTAAAATGAGAATGTTTAAGGAATGAGGTATTGAGTACGGGGGATTGATTTGAGGCTGTGGAGAGAAAAGAAGAATTTTTTTTTTAATAAAAAAAAAATTTGATGCATAAGAAATTATATTTAAAACATTCATAATATTTAAGACACGTCCAATTTATTTTTAATATCAGACACGTTCTCGGCGTGTCCGACACGCGTCGAAGGTTTGTCATACACATGTTGTGTCCAATACGTGTTGGACGCTGCACATCTCTTTGAAGATAAGTGTCGGTGCATCATATATGATATATTATTTTATGTCGTTTCCAGCACATAATTATGCCAGTTTTTGATGTGATGGGTATTCCACTTTCTCTTTTGCAGTATCCTTAGTTTGTGATGCACCGAACCTTCCTAGATTGTCTTTTCCTTTGTGGTTACTTTCTGGTAAAGAGAAGTGGTATGCTTATGTTACTATTTCATTTAGCAGTTATGCGGCTTCATATTTGAACTATGCATAAATCGATTCTATGTCTTTTGATTCTAATTAAATGCCATAATGCATGGATATAATCCGCTGATTTTTGCTACTGGTTGGGGTTCTACCACTTTCCTTGATAGTGCTGTATCATGCGTGTTTGCTAATAGATGATGGCTTTTTATGAGTATTAGGCATGCCAGTTTGTGATGTGATGGGTATTCTACTTTCTTCTTTGGTACATCCTTAGTGTGGTGCACTGAACCTTGATTGTGTTATCTTGGGTTCATTTTGAAATTATGAAGCTAAGGCAATTCTTAACAATATTGAAATCTCTAACTGGTGATTCCCTCAAGGCTCGACTCGAAAGTCTTATCTTAGACTCTAAAATCAAACTAATTGTCTATTGAAGCCAAAATGTAAAGAAAAATCTTTTCCGAGTATATATATATATATCCTTTTGCGCAAAATGCTATTCTTTGGTCTTATTATGTTTTGCGTTCCATTTTAGGTCTTTGCTTTTCCATGATTTTATCGCGAAATGCTTGACTAAAGATCCACGTCTGCGCCCTCCTGCTACAGAAATGCTGAAGGTAAGACCATATTTATGGCATTTGATTAGAGAATATCTCACAAAAAGAACAAATAAAAAATAAAGATTAATATTTCCAGCCCCAAATAGTTGGGATATGATTAATGATGATGATGACATTTTCAGTTTATGTAATATTTAGTAATTTGCTTCTTCATTTTCCTTCTTGAAAGGCTGCTTATTATTTAGTGCTCATCATATGCATAATTTTTTTAATGTATTTTTCTTTTCATATGTTGGCTTATTATATGATGCTAGACTTCAATAAAAGCAGCTGTTCTTAGTGTTTAGAAGAAAAATAGTATATGGTGTCATGTGAGCTTGTCTGGCTAATACTTCTTTGGCTAATACTTCTTCCCAATATAATTATTTCAATTTCCATTTTCATTTCCTTCTGTAACTTGTCATTTTAATTTTAGAGGTGTCTCCTTTCAAAGTTGGGCTGAAGTAATGTACATCATCCTCACCCAACTACCTTAGTGGGAGATCGTGCAACAACCTTATTATTAAGGTGCACTTAAGCATGGCGACTACAAATTCTCCTGACTTTCCTCAGAGGTCCTCTTAGAGGCTGCACTATCTTTTCTGGGAAATGTAAATGGAATAAATGGAATAACTGAACTCTAGAACAACAAAAATCAAAACCCCCTTTGATGAGGACATCTATAGGATATTCTAGCGCGAGGAGACATCGAAGATCTATGGCTACACTCACATCTTTTATTTCTGATTGATGTATTGTAATTTTATTATTTGTGTTATTTTCCGTTCTTACCCTCACTTGAGGGACTACATGCATGTAACCCCAAGGGGTAATTTGGTCTTTTGTTTTGTTCTTGTATGGGGCCTATTTATAGCCCTCTTTTGCCTCTTATGAGTTTAATGATGTTTGATGAATGAAATTTTAGCTTGTTTTCTTGTTGATTTCTTTGTGAGTTTTTGAGAGTGGTGAAGCCTAGGAGAGGCCAACAGAGTATCCAACCCTTGGTTCTTTTATTTTAATCTTCTTGATGCAATCAAAAATTTGGGAGAGGGACTCAAATTTTTGATCACAAAAAAAGAAACTCTTTCTAAGTACAAAATAAAGACATAAAAATACTCAAAAGACACTTTTTATATTATATAAAGAAACTTACAAACATAGACACTTACTTGACGACACTTACAATTTTGAAACTTACAAATGACTCAAACAAGACACCCTATAGTTGCTTCACATAGAGAAGAAGGATACTGATGGAGTGGCACTTGCGGATACTAGAAAGATATTAGAAGTCGAGACGAAGGTTGGGAAGAGCCCGCAGGATTTACGAAGGAGGTGGAAGAGGGAATGGACAAAGCTCGCAAGCTTTTCCAAACAACAAACCCGCAGGTTTTATCTCCAAAAATCACATTATCACATTCACATTTAAAAAGCCCAAAACATCTACTATATATAGGCAAGAGAGGGGAAACTTAACAGCCCAAAAGATCCTCAAATCTTTCACTAGACATTAATGAGCTAGGGAAGTCAAAAATCAAATATTAGGATTTGATTTGACCCCCCCCCTTGCCTACATCACTTCTTCCTCCTCCTCCTTCCCTCTCCAAACCTGCCGCCCCTCTTCCCCCTTTCTCCCAAACCAATAGCCCCCTCCCTCTCATCACCTTCACAATTGACGACATCCCACATCTCGATGCCTCACCGTATGCCGGCTCCCAACCACAGCCTAACCGGCCGTTGAACCGCCTGGTTCACCCTCACCCGTCGACCCTCTTCCCTGCTACAGCTGCCGACCCCATACGTTTTCCCCTTCCAAATTTGAATTCAAATCCACCATAAAACCTTTCCTAATTTGGTCCCATTAATTTAGGAGTTGATTTAAATTCAAATTCAATTATTTGAATTTCAAATTTTCTCTTAAATGATCCCTCCTCTAATATATGAAACATTCCCAATTAATTTAAATATGAAATCAATTTCAGATTTAAATAATCAATCCCCTTAATTGCGTGGATACCCAAATCCCTCCCTCCCTCTCTCCTTGGCCGGCCACCTTAACCGCCCCCCTTTTTAATTAATTAGATCCCATAAATTAAGAATATAATTAATTCAATCCCCTCCATACTTTCCCTCATAATTCCTTCTTGTTTCAAATTCAAATTTCAAAGAAATTAATCTTTAATTACTCACTAGATATGAAATTATTTTCAGATTTAGCCTTTTTCCTTCTTCCCCTTTGCTTGGCTGAGCCTACCCGACCCCTCCTCTCACTCTCTATTTTCTCTCTTAGACAATCATGCATGGCCGACCCGGATGTTGATCATGGGTTCGTAGAGGATTCTTTGGCTGAACCGACATTCACAGATCCCCATTCGTCGATTTCAACTTGGACGTCGACAACTCCGTGGAAAGTTACATTGAACGCATCATCTTTACGTTGGCACCGTCAATTGAGGAACACCTCACAACTGGATCATGGACGATCCTGGGACGTCAAAATCCATCCGTCGCCGGCTACCTTTGCAACAACGAAGTTCTTTGGCTCCTTCTTCCTAGTGGTAAACTCTTCTCTAGTGTGGAGCATCTTCTTCCGCTAACCCCACGAATGAATGAGTGAGGAGGTCCTCAAGGTGAAACCTTTCATTATTAAATTGTGGATTTTTTTATTGCGCTCATAACTTTACTCTTGTCTTTGGAGTTTGATTGAATTGTCTTGGTTAATCTAAATTGTACTTCTTTTCCTAAGCAAGTTAAAAACTACAAATTTGTAAAATCTCTTTGTTGTGAACGATAATTTTGTAATTGGAAAAGCTTTAGACAATTGCTCTTCTTAATTTCTCGCTAACTCCTGGTGGTATCACATCATCTTGGTATCAGAGCATGGTAGACATGCATAACATGTGCTAGAAGTCATCCTAGGGGTTTGTCTAACCATGATCTTTATTATTACATGCATATCATCTTTTAAAATATTTTAATTCTCTATTATGCTTGCTGTCCACGCATTTCCAGCACTCATTTAGTGAACATTATGCTAGTTTCTTAAGTGTTTAGGTGCTGTCCTCAACCTAGCAACCTTCCTAATTGCCTAGATCACTTAAGTCTCTCTTGTAGCTTGCCGTCCAGTAATTTCCTGCACCATATATCAATTCATAATGGTGTTTTCTCCTTATAGATGCTATCCCTTACACCCAATCTTCATTAGGTATCACTTAGTGCTTTCCAATGGACCTGATAGGGCTTCAAAAGAAGTTAGACGACCTAGTTAACCTAGTGGGCTCTATAACTAAAACCTTGAAGGAGAAACATGTTGACTCTCCCCACTCTAGGTATGTGCCCCAGTCGGTCAATCATATTAGTCGGAAGATTACCCACTCTGCTTATCAACCTAGTACTGAGCCCAAGCCGCAACAACCTCACTTAGAGTCACATAACCGTCTGCCCACCTTTGATGGTTCCTCCGATCCTACTACTTTAAGGAATGTGTTAGACAATTAGAAGACTATTTTGAATCTCGTGATATACCTGAGTCCCATCGGGTGAGCATTGTTAAGTCTCACCTGAATGGTCGTGCTCGTCAATTTTGGACGAGGTTGTAAGATCATAAAGAGTCTCATGGTGAATACCCTATTTCCGATTGGAAAGACATGATACGAGAACTTAGATTAAAATATTTTCCCCTACTTGTGGCCAACCATCTGATTTTAAGATTAGGTCACCTCCTGTTCATCAAACTTTAGGATGCAATATTTTTCCAGAACCCTACATGTGAGAGTCAGTCCTACTCACCTTTTACACTCCAATCTGACATCGTAACTCCTAGTGCTCACCAAGCGGCAATTATTCAGTTCCCCACCTCTGTGATTATCCCTAAACCTGTCCAACATACCACTTCTACTCACATAGTGGCCCCAACACCTAGTGATTTTCATCTGGAACACCACCCAGCCTCTTTTGTTGGGACAACTCGTGGACATCACTGTGTTCGAGACCACCCATCCCTTAGTAACATCAGGGTTGCTTCACCTAGCCTTGATGGCCGACCCTCTAATGAGTCTTCTGTCGGATCGGTCCCATATGACTCCTCACTTGGGCCGACTCCTAGCCATCCCAGTCTACCTTGTCTGAGCGCTCATCCTCTCTGCATGGTGGATCCCGATTTACCTCACCTCGTGAGTGATTTTACCACCTTTCAATCTAATAGGAATTATGAAGCTACCTAACCTTTGGCCTCCCAGTCTTTGATCCTGTGAGTGTAGTTTTAACAAACAATTGCAGTACAAAGAAAAAGTCCCCTGACCCTGAAACTGAGTGCATCCATTTTATGGATACTAATGATATCACTGATAACGAATACTTCTTTGAGGATGAAACTGAAATGATTGAATTAAACTCATTGCATAACTTAAACCACGTGTTAGGAGATTTAGAACTTTTAAACATTGATACCTTAGCTCATCCTGATTCTAATCTCATCAAGGATATCCTTTTGGATAAAGTCTACTTGGACGATATCAATTTGATCTCGAAAGAAACTGATTTGACCTTGAGCACTTCGAAATTAAATTCGGAAGATTCTGATTTACTTTTATCTCCTATTGAGTTGAGTCTAAACAATTCTGAGTTAATTTTAAATAATTCTGATGGTGATGTGGATAATCTCGAGTTGGAAGTGATTTAATTGAATTTACTACTTGATTTGGATCCCAATTTAATTGACCCCAAATCCATTGATCTTAGGGTTATAACTAAACCTAATTTTATTGAGATTATTAATAAGAATTCGGAAGACATTAATTTGAATCTGAATGATTTTGAGCCTAATTTGAGAAATGAGCATCCTTTTGTTTTATTGGAGTCTGTTTTAGGAGTTGCTCCTTTAGATTTACATTTGAAAGAGTGTGTCTGTCTTGATTGGACTTATCTCACCATTTCTCGTACCGACTTTAATGTTAGAGGGAGTATTAGCCCACACTTTCATGTCATCTCTCTAACTGTTGTGCCCACATCTGTTCTGGACACTCTACCCAATCTTTTGAGTCCCATACTTGCTGGTGACTCTTTAGGCTATCCCATTATGGTTGTGAATCAGGACCCATCATCTTATCATGTTCCTGATTCCTCCATTATGCACTCTATATTCTTGTCATTCCCTATTAAGGACCATCTCTCTCCTAGTTGGATAAATTTGCTAGATTACCCTGCTGCCCCTAGGAGACTATTTATGACCCTAGCTGAAACTCCCTATAGAAATGCTCTTTTAGCTAAGGATGTCTTTATTGCTCCTTCTACACCAGTTCCCTTAAAAAAATGAAAACTTTGTCCTATCATTTTGTGACTGACACATCTTTATTCCTACATATCTGTGCTTGTGAGTCAGTATGTTTGTGTGTTTTAAGTCTGTCTTCCTCCAAAATTGTCCTCTGTTTATATTTTTTGTGTGAGCCCACAATTCAGGGTCAATCATCATGCACACCAAGTCTCTGGCATCCACATTTACATCTCATCTCCAGGAGTTACATAAAGAAATTAAAAAGAAAATTGAACAAAGCAAATATCAATTATAAACTTATTGCTTATCACAAGAAAAGATTTAAAGAATTCGAAGTTGGAGACTTTGTGATGGTGCAGATCCGTCCGGAGCGTTTTCCTCTAGGTTCCATAAAGAAGTTGCATGCTAGAAGCGCCGGACCTTTTAAGATAATTTCAAAAAGAAATAGTAATGCTTATGTGTTGAACCTTCCTAAAGATTTTAACATTAATTCTACGTTTAATATAGAAGATCTAGTAGCCTTCGAGGGACCTGCGTTTAGCCCCAATAATCCACTTCATAATGAACCTTGTGCGACCCCGCCTGGTGAGATCCCTAACCTACCTCCACTTCCCAATTTGTCTCATTTACCCAATATGGAGAAGATTGAAGCAATACTAGATGATGAGATCATTTCCACGAAAGGAGGGCATCGAAGATACTTAGTTGACGGGAAAGAAACACCAGAGATAGAGGATACATGGGTTGATCGAGATGAGTTGCAGAGATTGGACCCAGACTCATTTACAGCTCTGCGAGAGTCATTGAAACACCCACTCGACGGAGTCCAGTTTTCTCCCATCCGGGGAGAAGGATGAGGACATCTACAAGATATTCTAGTGCGAGGAGACATCAAAGATCTACGGCTACGCTCGCATCTTTTATTTCTGATTGATGTATTATAATTTTATTATTTTAGTGTTCTTTTCCTTTTTTACCCTCACTTGAGGGACTAGATGCATGTAACCCCAAGGGGTAATTTGGTCTTTTGTTTTGTTCTTGTATGAGGCTTATTTATAGCCCTCTTTTCCCTTATATGAGGTTAATGATGTTTGATGAATGAAATTCTAACTTGTTTTCTTGTTGATCTCTTTGTGATTTCTTGAGAGTTGTGAAGCCTAGGAGAGGCCAAATGAGTACCCAACAGCCCACCAAGGGGTGAGCTCTTGGTTTTTTATTTTAATATTCTTCTTCTTCCTCCCTTCTTACCTCTCCAAACCCGCCGCCCCTCTTTCCCCTTTCTCTCAAACCAATAGCCCCCTCCCTCTTATCACCTTCCCAACTGACGACATCCCACATCCCGATGCCCCACCGTCTGTCGGCTCCCAACCACAGCCCAACCGGCCGGTGAACTGCCTGGTTCACCCCCACCCGTCGACCCTCTTACCTGCTACAGCCGCAGGCCCCATACATTTCCCCCCCTCCAAATTTAAATTCAAATCCGTCATAAAACCTTTCCTAATTTGGTCCCATTAATTTAGGAGTTGATTTAAATTCAAATTCAATTATTTAAATTTCAAATTTTCTGTTAAATGATCCTCCTCTAATATAGGAAACATTCCCTGTTAATTTAAATATGAAATCAATTTCAGATTTAAATCATCATTCCCCTTAATTGCGTGGGTCCACCTCATTAATACCCAAATCCCTCCATCTCTTTCTCCTTGGCCCCCCCCACCCCCCTAATTAATTAGATCACAAAAATCAATGATCTAATTAATTCAATCCCCTCCCCACTTTCCTTCCTAATTTCCACTTTTTTCAAATTCAAATTTCGAAGAAATTAATCTCTAATTACTCACTAGATCTGAAATTATTTTCAAATTTAGCCATTTAACATATTTATGAGCAAACACATTTATAATAAAAGCAATTGTCTATGTAACAAAGGCAATGATTATTTATATTTATTTATTCTATAGTCAAATATTAATTATTTTTATTGAGCTTATTCACGAGTTCAAAATCGAACACGAATCGAGCTTCTTATCGAGTTTAATGTCGAGCTTGTTCACGAACTTCAAATGATGTTGTTCGTGAACATAAATGATCCGAACACATTAGTGTTCAAGTTTGTTTATTTAAGAATCGAGTATTTAAAATATTGTTCAAGTTTGTTTGTTTAGTTAATTAAATGATCACAAACGAGCTTTAATCGAACCGAACAACGAGTAGCTCGTCGAACATTTGGTTCGCTTGCAGCCCCACCCACGAGTGAATGAGTGAGGAGGTCCTCAAGGTGAAACTTCTCATTATTAAATTGTGGATTTTGTTATTGCACTCATAACTTTACTCGTCTTTGGAGTTTAATTGAATTGTCTTGGTTAACCTAAATTATACTTCTTTGCCTAAACAAATTAAAAATTACAAATTTGTAAAATCTCTTTGTTGTAAACGATAATTTTGTAATTGGAAAAGCTTTAGACAATTGCTCTTCAAATTTCTCGCTAACTCCTGGTGGTATCACATCACTTCTACTACCCCAGCCTCGTCTTTTCCACAGACATCACATATGTGTTCCTTTTTTAGTTTATGTGAAGGACATTTTTAATGGACAATCTATTACGAATCAACTTATTGTTATTATTCTAGGTGTGTCAGTTATATTGGATTTCCTGATTCATTTACCTGAGCGTTTGTTGTTCATGTATGAACAAATCAAAATTGGGTAATTAGGTATGACTTGCCAAAACTTTTTTCTTTTTTCTAATTTTGTTTTGGACATCTCTTTCTTTCTTTAACTTGCCAATTTGGTCCAAAGTTAATATTTTGTTGGGTCAGATTATAGTTATGTGATATTGATTGAAAAAAATCCATCCACGAAGTAGTTTGTTTTTGTGCAGGACCCATGATGGCGCATATGATATTTAATTCTTATTTTCCTTCCCTAGACCTGTTAAATTTATTTTTCAATGCAGCACAAATTTATTGAAAGGGGTCAGTGGGGAGCTTCAAAGATGCTGCCAATGATCAAAAGGGCTCGGCAAATTAGAGCTGCAATGGCGGCACAAGCACAAGCTCAGGTTATAATCTATGCCATAAATTTCCATTTTGTTTGTGATGCTATTTGAAGATTGAATTTGTTCTACATCTACAATGATGCAATATAGATGGCAAGTATTGATAAATCTACAAGCCTAAATAGAAGCTATGGAGACACTGTTCCTTCAAAACCACAAAAGTCACTTGAAGCACTGGATAAAGTTGCTGAAGGCTGCGATTTGAGTCAAACAACTTATTACACTGAACTGGGTGCAGGTAAAAACCTGTGTATACTTTTTTACCTTCAAAATTTCCTTTGCTGGAATCCAACACTAATTAAATATCTTTTCTAATTGAAAGTTTTGTCAATAGAAACAGTAGAGAGAGCTAATAGATCATCTTTTTGAATTGTTTTGTCGATTGTTGTGGGATTGTAGCCTTTGCCACTTTTATAGCAGGTGGCGTATCCTGTACCAACAATGGTGCCTTTGATCGTTGTAGTACTGAATTAAACAAGTAGTGTGATGATTTTGGTCTATTCGGACGATGTCTTCTGTTCTGTTGCTACCTAGACTTAACCAGTATTACTCTACCATGATATGCAATTTTTGTAATTTGAATTGAATCAATTCCAATAACAGCCGACCTGAGGAAATTAGGTGTCTATACATACATAACTTGAGGCACTCATAGGAAACTTTTGTTTTGTAAAATTTTGAGTCCTTTTAATCATTTGTGCTAATTGGATGTTTATTTTTCTTGGTGTCACAAGAGCAACTTTCAAATTTTGGGGAAAGTTATTTTATTATACCTTCATAAGGCATTGATTGTCCCTTCTTGGGAATTCTTTCATTGTTCTCCTTTTCGCTAATTTGTAATTGTTTTTGCAAGGGTACTTGATTTTAGTCAAATTTGTTGCAAAATGAATTTTCAATTGCGGTGTGAATTTCAGTTGAATTGTGGATATTTGTGATACGCCTTGGAGTCAATTTCAGAAAACTACATCAGGAAATTCTCAGAAAATATGCAGAAAACAACAGATTTAGGAGGAATAGTGACTGGTTTTTATTAATAACACAACAAGAAATAAAAGATACAAGCGATTTACAGTTAGAGAGTAGATCGACTCTCCCAAGCAACCTAGTTGCCGCTAATAAGTCCTCACAAAAGAAAAAACTATAGAAAACTATAACAAACTCAAGACATGCATGCCCCAAAACAAACTCTAGATCGACCCCCCCCTTAAATAAGCTCTCAAATTGCCTCCAAAATTGATTTGTTTCCTTATTATTTTTCCTCTTTAATTTAAATTCATTTAGGAAATCTTTCCCACTTGATTTAAATTCAATTAAGAAATCTTTCCCTCTTAAATTTAATTAGGAAATCTTTCCTAATTTCTCCTCCCTTTAATTCCTCTCATAACATAATGAATTAATTCTTTATTGGGCCCCAAAAGGGGGGCCAAAATCTCCCCCCCTTGGATCTTGCTTGGTTCACCCCTCCCCTTTTTTGTCTACTATGCTGCTATATGAAAACTCCCCTCCTCGAATTGCATCTTATTCTCAATGTGGAAGGATGAAAATTGTTTCCTGATCTTCTCATAGGATTCTCATATAGCTCCATAATCAGGCCGGTAAATCCTTCCATCGAACAAGGACTTCCTTTGCTCCTGTTGTCCCTTGCCATGCTCCCTTGATCTCCATATGTTCCAAAATCACTTCCATGTCCCCGGTTAAAGTTGCAGGTAGTGAGGAAGAGGGTCTGTGATCTCCGATAGTGCGCTGTAGTTGTGATACATGGAATACTGGATGGATGACTGATGCTGGTGGTAACCCCAAACGATAGGCTACTGCCCCAATATGCTCCATCACCTTATAGGGTCCAAAATATTGTGGGGATTACTTCTCATTCCTCCTCATGGCCAATGTTGTCTGCCTATATGGTCTTAGTTTTAGATAAACTTCATCCCCGAGCTCGAACCGTACTTGTCCGTGTTCATCTGCCTTCTTTTTCATAAGTTGTTGAGACCTTATAGATGCCCTTTGAGTTTTGCTAATATTCTGTCCCTCTCCTACAAGTGTTGATCTACACTAGATATCGATGCAGTGCCCTGCCCGTAGTGTATTAGATGGGGTGGGTCCCTCCCATTAAGGATCTTGAATGGGGTCATTTGTGCGGATGTGTAGAAGGATGTATTGTACCAATACATTACCCATGCCAACTATTTGGCCCATAATTTTGGCGTGTCATATGTGTAACAACGCAAGTATGTCTCCATGATTCTGTTGATTACTTCCGTTTGGCTGTCTGTCTATGGATGATATGCTGTGCTCCTTTTTAAAATCGTCTCCTACATTTTGAATAGCTCCATCCAAAAAAGATTGAGAAATACCTTGTCTCTGTCTGATACTATAGATTTTGGGATTTCATGTCAAAGCACTATCGCCTGAATAAGCAACTGATATAACAGTGTAGGGATTTTTCAGTGGAATAAAATGGGCATACTTGCTTAATCGTTCTACTACCACCAATATTACTGAGTATCCCACTGAACATGGTAATCCCTCAATGAAGTCCATTGTCACTTCCTCCCAAAACCTTTCAGGTAAAGCTAAAAGGTGCAATAACTCTCCTGGTGCCATAGTAAGGTAATTATGTCTTTGATACACATCACATCTTGCTAACATGTCTTTCACATCCTGGTGCATTCCCACCTAATATAGCGCAATAGATAGTCAATTGTATGTCTTCTGGACTCTTGAATGTCCACACTACCATGAAATTCTTGCATCATCTTGGGAATATAACTTAAGGATTGTGGGAGTACAAACCACCCTTAGTGGAGTAGGTGGTCCCCATTCAGAGCATAACTGCTGTGCATATCCGGGTCCTTCAATAATTTTTCCATGATCTTTCTCAATCCTTCATCCTGCTTGCTTTCCCTCAATGCTTTCCAGTTTAAGATCATTGGTGTTATGGTTGTCAACTGTGGCACCTCAGCCATCTTAGAGAAGGCATTTGTTGCTTTATTTTTTAAGCCCGGTCGGTAAAAGATCTCAAAGACGTATCCAAGAAATTTGGATAGCCATCTATGGTGCTCCTCCGTGACCTTCCGTCACTCCAAATACTTCAGACTCCTCTGGTCTGTCCTGACTATAAAATGGGTGGCTCATCATGGCTGGCCCAATTTTAAACTCGATAAGTGAAAAAAATTATTAAATTTTACAATATATATATTTTAGAACTCTAATGTAGTTTAAATCAAACTTGTTCATGAGCAGACTCCTCCATAACCCAATTTTAAATGGGATAAGTTAAAAAAATATTAAATTATTAAATTTAACAATATATATTTTTAAAAACTCTAATATAGTTTAAATGGAGCTTGTTCACGAGCGCTAAATAATATTATTCATGAATATAAACGAACCAAACACCAAAATGTTCAATCTCATTTATTTAGCTATGAGTATTTATCAAAAGTGTTCATGCTCGTTCATTTACTTTATCAAACGAACATGAACGAGCTCTTATTAAGCCGAGCCACGAGTAGCTCGTCGAATACTCGGTTCATTTGCAGCCCTAGGTCTACGTCTACCTCTACCTTTCTTAACATAAGCCAAATCTAATAAATCTACTCTCCTAACTGGGTCATCGGAAGACCACCGTTGTATGTGACCAAACCATCTAAGGTGACTCTCTAATCTTATCTTCCACTGGAGCTACTCCAACCTTTTTACATATATGCTCATTTCGCATCCTATCATCTATATCTACCACAAATCTTCTTCGAAAAGTTGGGAGCGCCAGTACATGTACACTTGTCATAGCTGTCTTCAGCTCCTGGAATGCTCGAGTTGCTTCATTGCCCCACTTGAAGTTATCCTTTATCAATTGCTCTGTCAAAGGTCTTGCTATGGTGTCGTATCCCTTCACAAACTTCCGGTAGTAATCGATGAGCCCTAAGAACCCCCACAACTCCCTCAGATTCTTAGGAAGAGGCTAGACTACCATGGCCCGAATCTTGAATTGGTCAGCTGACACCCCCTCTGTGGACATCACATGCCCTAAATACTCCACATGTGATTTCCCAAATGTGCACTTTTTTAGTTGGCAAATAATTGATGCTCCCTCAAGATTTTCATTATTGTCATCAAGTGTTCCATTGTTCTTCCTCTGTCTTGCTGTATATTAGAATGTCATAAAAAAAAACCAAGACAAACATTCAGAGATGTGAATGGAACACTTGGTTCATAAGTGACTAGGAGGTGACAGGGGTTTTGGTGAGGCCAAAAGGCATCACTAGGAACTCGTAGTATCCTTCATGTATCTTGAAGGTTGTCTTGTGAACATTTGATGTCTTCATCCTGATTTGATGATATCTCGACTTCAAATCAATTTTGGAGAAGATCACAGCTCCAAATAACTCATCCATGAGTTTGTCTATCACGGGAATAGGAAACTTATCTAGTACTATTTTCTTGTTAAGAGATCTGCAATCTAAACAAAACTTCCAATTGTCATCCTTTTTTTCACCAACAGTAGTGGGCTAAAGAAAAGACTCACACTAGGTCTGATGATACTTGCTTTCATAATCTCCCTGATCAACCTCTCTATCTCATCTTTATGGATTTGGGGGTAACAATATGGTTTGAAATTGATGGTATAAGTCCCTTCTTTCAAGTTGATGGCATGCTCGTGCTCTTGAGGCGGCGATAACCCGATCGGTGGCTGAAATACGTCCTGATATTATTGCAGAATTTGCTGGGCCTTCACTGGAATTTCCTTTTCCTTCTGTTCTTGGATCCCTTTTATGCTTCACAACTCTACCAAGCAGTCCCGACCCGCATCCTGGATTGTCTTGAGCATGGTTTTTAAGGATACCATGGTCTTGCATAAGCTAGCATCCCCTTTAAGCATTACTTTCTTCCCCTCCACTTATATCTCCATGAACAATGATTTCTTGTTTACCTTCATATCCCCCATAGTTTGTAGCCACTTCATCCCATAATCGCATCGGTACTTCCAAGCCTTGGGGAAGGAAGTCCACCACCTGAATGCCCTACAAGATCAGTACCTACCCTTTACATATTCCCCTATTCCTCTCTAACTTGCCCTTTCCCATCATCATTCACATCCTTCAGTCTTCTCTAACTTCAATCTCAATGGGTCCACCACCCAATTTTTGATGAAGTTGTGGTTAGCTCCACTATTCACCAAAATTACCATGGATTGCTCTCCAATTTACCCCCTTTTATGATGTGATTTGGGGTAAA